TATTGGACTCTCTTGTTGCAGAAATACCCCATGGCCCCAGACCCTGTGGCCGAGGCCCTAATCCTAGCCCTATGCCGCTACGGGGCCCGATGATGATGCAGACATCCCTTTCTGTGCTCGGAATCTGCCTAGCCTGGAGTCCTAGAACAAAAATCATGTGCTCTTGCATTCGCCGACCGCAGTGTGTTCATCTCTTTACCTGGGACGACTCCATATTCATGATCCGAAACGAAAGAATATGATGCAGATGCGCTGTAAAAGGGCTGGGAATAGCCCCAGCAGGAAGAAGGATACGTTCCAAAACAAAACATGTTTGGCTCCCTGGGTCATGTTGTGTCATTTGGTAGCCACACAGAACTCATATGACCCAGTCACAAGCAAGAAAAAATCGGTGGTCTACACTGCGCACCCTGAACACGCAATAGTTCGATACATAAAGAACGCACCATCGGAATTCAGGAACCTCCAACAAATGATGATTAAAAGCGAATGTAATCCCACAATGCAAAAAATGATGAATAAATGATGATTAAAAACGAATGTAATCCCACAGTGCAAAAAAATGATGAATAAATGATGATGGAGGAAATCAAGGAGATGATGAAAAAATGATGATTAAATGACCAAAAAATTATTTTTCATAGCCCCAGCCTGTTGCAAGAAGATTCTCATAAGTCCAAAGAGTCCAGGAGGATCCTAGCATAGCCTTGAAAGAAAATATCTTTGTGTCCCAACCGGCTCTCCACTGTCCTCTCCTCCCATCCGTAGCAGCTGTGAAGCGCTTTGCCGAGGACCTTGTCGATGTAGCCGCGCGGCTCCTTCTTGAGGTTGATCCAGGCTCCCCACGACACAGCTGTCCGAGGGACCACCACACGAAGTGTGGCAAGCTTCCGCGACGCAGGAGTACTTGCCGCCTTGCTGCCCTTCACGCCGAGCTCCTCCGGGAAGTCCTTACCGACAACAAAAGTCTTAAAGAAGGATCCAACAGCCACATTTCCTCCAGCGTCCCGTGCCAACAGCCGTGCAGGTACTCCATAGGCATCCTGAGGCTCCTTGGGGGTAGGCCCAGAGTCCGCCCGGACACGGAAGACGATGCCAACGGTCGGAAGCTCATGTAGCAAAGCCAGATCGCCGACAGCCCTGGCATCAGTTCTGGTTTTGACACATACCCAAACCGGTCCTTTGTCTCCAGCTGCGACCCTGGCCTTGAAGCCGCCAAGGCCAACCATCGGGAACTTCTTGAAGTTGCTCGGCAGGATCTCGTGGGCATCCTTGGGCTCGGTAGGTGGTCGGCCTTTCCCGTCGGCTTTGCCACCCTTGGGTGCCTGGCCTTTGCCCTTCAGACCGTTCTTGGGTTGCGGTCCCGGTCCTTTGCCTTTTCCCTTGTAGTTGCCATTCTCCTTGCCCTTGCCCTTGCCTTTGGAACCATGGGCGACGATATTCGCCCAAGAAGAAAAAGAAGAGGAAGGAAGAGGAGCAGCGGCATCGCTGCCGTCACCGCCTTTGCCCTTGCCCTTGCTGCCGCGGCCTTTCCGGTGAACAGTTTCCCAGCCTTCGTCATCCGGAGGGGCGGCATTCCACTGTGTGTCGCCGTTCTTCTTCTTCTTCTTAGGCTTTTTGGCCCGAAGTTGTCCTTGCCGAGCGACTTGCACAAGTTGACTGAGTCGATCCAGCAATCCCTTGGGCTGTTTCCTGGCCCTGTCCACAAGGCTCTGAAGAGCATGAAGAAGAAGTTGATCTGGGTCCTGATCTAACTCCCCTGCTCCTCCTTGATCATTGCCGGAAGCGAAGCTGGAGAGGACAGCGGCAAGAGCGTCAAGCAGGTCCTTCTCCCCTTTTTCTGCTTGTGGTGGCGGCAGCGCCGCCACCACCTCCCCGGAAAGTAGAACCAATCCCTCCCTCAAGGTTGGTGTTGCGAGGCACGAAAGTGTCCCGCCGCCGAAGTGCACCATGGCAAAGGGCCCGCATCACGGCCCGACATTTGCCTTTCCGAAGTGCACCGCACAATCTTCTCCGAAACGAGCGGCCCCAAGCAAGGCGCCGATTCCCAATTCGACGTGCTTTCCAGCAAAGACATCCCTGGACCAAAAGGCGACGAAGGGCCGCACCACCCACAGGTTGAGCCCCGGACTTCGGTCTTCAAGGATGCACTTTGCTCGCCATCCTGCGCCGGGCTTTGGCAGAAAATCTGCTTGGCTTCGCACCAGGACGATGCTTTGCTGAAGGCTTTCTCCGACCAGGGTAACCCCACCACCAAGGAGGCCACCCTCGACAAAGAGCCCTGCCACTAATGCCTCGCCATCCCATGCGAGTGCAAGTGGCTTTCTCCTTTAGCAGCTTCGTGCCCTGGCAAGGGCCTGCAGTGACCATCTTGGAGGTGCTGCTGTCACTGCTCATCTCCTCGCTGTGCAACACTTGAACGGGGCAACCTGCCTCAAGGGACAAAGACGCCCGTCTGGATTGAAGCTTAGGCGAAGGGACCAAGGACACGTCGTCCATTGACCTGGTCACGCACTCAGCTCACGTGCACCAAAACAGCTCGGTTCACTGCAGCGTCCCCGACAACAGGCCATCCAAGGCGGGCCGCCAACGCATCGGCCGGCATCGGAGGCCGCGCATCTGCAAAGCAACGCAGTGCCATGCCAAGTGTTCCCACGTGGGTTTGCAAGCCACTCCACAGCAAGGGCATGACGACAATTCATCCGCTGCAGCTCCCTGAATCGTGTGATAAGCCGTGATGGAGTGGGCACCTCCTGTCAACACGGCTTTTCCGTCACTCCCAGCAGCCAAGAAAGCTTTCCTGGCACGAAGCACAAGCGAAGTGTCGTTTGGCCTTTGACGAACAGCAGCAGAGTCACGACGACAAGCAGCACTGTAGGCCTCCCATCTCTGGCATCTCCAGGCCTCCCTGAGTGTATGCAAAGGAGTTGCAAGCCATCTGCGGAACTGGCCTTAGCCGGGACGCCAGGGAAACTCAAAGACTCAAAGGAGCCGACGACAGGGTGGTTGAAGACGTTGCGCGCGTAGCCAAAGCCAAAATCTTCCAAGCCATCCCGAAGAACGCTGAGCTAGTCGCCGCCGCTGAGCATCCTGCCCTTGCGCTGCCAGTACAAAAGCCCACGGGCCAGAGCTGCCATGCTACGCTGTGTGCTCATGAAGCCCATGTCCATGACGTGGCCCTGGAGCAACTCCCACAAGTCACGGGAAGTGAGGGAGACGGTCCGCTGGACAACGAGCACAGAAGCCGTAGTGACGGAGGACCTGCGAACACCTTGGTGAACCGACGCCTGCCGAAGGGCCTAGGCTTGCAGGAGACTCTCACGCACGGCCGCCAGGTGGGCGCCCTGAACTCTGCACTCCTGCTGCAAACGGAAAGCCTGAGCACTGCCAACACAAGTGATACCACGTTCAGTGGGCTATCGGGCACTCATTACGGACACCGTACCAAGCCGTGGAAAGTGCAGCTCCCGTGAGGACTGCTCTCTCATGCTTGGTAGCACGTTGGTACCTGCAGGCAGTGGCCTTAGCCCGCCTTGCCTCGTACGGAGCTCCATGGAGCACCACACTGTCACGCCTCGACTGCGCCAGAAAAGCAGCCCACTGCTGTCGTCTCCAGGTCTCGCGAAGACTGCGGAGACCAGTTGCCCGACTACGAGGGAAGACGTCCGTGAAGTCCAAACTGCCCTCATCAGGGTGAGTCCACTACCAGGGGCCCCGCTCCTGCCATCGAACTCGCCCCTACCAAGTGCCTCGCAAAGGTCTGAGGGTCCAACGAGGCTGGTAGCCCAAAGGACAAGCTCTCCACAATGCAGCCGTCGCCTGCTGACCGACGAACCAAGCGTCACAGAAGTGCCATTCAAGCAGCCGCAGCAACGGAACTGAACTCTGTGCTGCTGACACTGGGCACATCTCCGGAACAAGGCCGACAAGGCCCAGTAAGAAGGCCTTCTCTTGCCCAACGTATGGAAACTGAGGCAGCCCCAGGTCCATCTAGGCGTCACCAGTTGCTTGAAGAAGTACCGCCGGTGCCCAGCCGTCAGCGGTGACCACGCCAACCTCAATGCGACCTGACTGGCCTCGTCAGCGCGCAGACGAGCCGTTGGACGGTCGGCCTGACCACGGCGCTGTCCCACATCGATCCCAAGCACTCTGGCCGTGGCTGCGTACGCCTCAGGCCGCCGTCTCTGAAGCTCGACTCGACCCGTTGCGCAGCGGTGCGCGGCACGATCTTGATCTTGCCCTGGTTCTCCACCAGGCCAAGTCGTCCAGACCATCGCTCAGTGTACGCCACAGCGTCCAAGACAGCGTGTGGGTCCTGGCCTGCAAGGCTGCGATCGTCCACAAAGAAACTGAGCCTGACCGTGGGAAAAGTTCTCGCCAGGCCTCGCGCTACGGAGCTCAAGATGGCAAGCGTGGCAAGCGGGCTGAAGGCATCACCCTGCGGAATCGAGGCCTTGACGTCCGAGGCAGAGGCGGACACCTGTGAGCGCCAGAGCAACCATCGGCGCTGTTCCCCATACTTGCCGGAGCCACTGACAGGCCCTGAGGCATCCCCAGGTGCTGAAGCATGGAAACCACCTGTCGGCACCACGTTGTCAAACGCCTTCTGAAGATCAAGGCTTGCAAAAGCATGTGCTGTCCCGACATCACAGCATCCTCTAGCTGCGCCAGAGCAGTGAAAGGATCACGGCCTGCAACAGCCCCATGGCAGCAGTCGGGTATTCTCAGCAGCCACCGCCGTGTCTCAGGACGGCGCACAACGGCAGCGCCGGCCATGCGCCAAATCGCACACATGCATGAGTGCAATTGGTCGCAGCTTGTCGACATTGCACTCCTGAGCCCGAACCTCAGGCAAGTGGACCTGAGCCACCTCGGACCACGAGTGAGGTGAGAGACCCACCTCAAAGGCGCGGTTGAGCAGGCCAGCTAGATCCTCAAAAGCAGCGTCAGGGGCAGCACGCAGTTCAGCAGGAGTCCAGCCGGACGTCCCCGCAGCAACAGCACCAGAAGTTATTGCAGCGTTCGCAAGCTCAGCCGCAGTAAAAGCTCGCCAAGGCATGGCCCCGGGAGGCTGAGTCCATTCTTGAACCCACTCCTGAAAGACAGTACCCTGCACCGGCAAGGGCCGATCCCAGATCTCCTGCCAGAACTCGCGAAGCATGGTCACAGCCTCAGCATCATGACTTGCAAGCCTTGCGTTGTCCGCGGGTGATGGTATGCGTGGTGGCTCCAGCAGCGCGCTTGAGCCAGGACCTAGCGTACTTCTCATCCGTGCGGATGCGCTCTTTCCACTGCTGAAGTCTAGCAGCCTCCTCAGCCACAGCAAGGTCAGCAAGAGCCTGCTCGGCGGTAACCAACAACTGGCTCGGATCTTCGTCGAAGCGTAGGTGCGAGGGCCAATTACGCCGAACCTTGCGGAGCAACAATGGCCTCACAGCGTCATCAGCGCGCCTGAACTCCCGAAGCCTGCCAACAACGTTAGCCAAACGCCGCAGCTTGAAGGATCCAGGAGACGAAGCAGCCCCGAGCTCACCCTTCTCGATGCGCACCGCCGGTGTTCCCTTGTCGCCGGGTGCATCTAGGATCCGCAGGCACAGCAGCCTCCACAGCGACGTCCTTGTAGGCGTGCTCGAGCTTGTCACACCGCAACCGCCAGCGTTGCTCAAGGTCGGCCTGAGAGGCCAACTGGAACCAATCCTGGGCAGCGCCGTAAGCGCGACGGAGGGCTTCCTTCCAGTCGGCAGCCGTCTAGCCTCGAGGAAGCTGGCAGGAGTGGCAAGGCTGAAGCAAGGTAGCAGGATCCCTCCGCAGGGACGCATTCAACTCGAACCACACCGCCTTATGGTGAGAAAGGACTGAAGCATCAGTCCAAGCACGGCATCCTGCGGCCATAGCGCATGGCCCTCCCGCACCCTGAGCCGGGATAATCTGCATGAAATCGATGCAACGATCGGAACTCCATCTTGTGGTCAACCATTGCCCATTCTGCATGGGAGCATGCGCGGCAACTCCCTCAACGTCAGCCAGGTGGCCTTCCCCCGACAAATGGTTAAAGTCCCCAAGGGCAACAACCGGATGGCAAACAACGGAGGTCGACTCAAGGAGCGACTGGGACAGGCCACCTCCGAGAGCAAAGCTAGGTGGCTGCCATAGCCCACAGAACCTCCAACGGCCGCACTGAAGCACCATATACTCCCCTTCATCAAGGCAGGCTGAGGCAACAAGGTATCCTGGGAGGCCATGCCTAAGCAAGATCGCAATCCCGCCATGAATACTGCGCCGGCCAAGTGCATCATGCCCAACCTTCGCAGGAATGGCCCAGCAGCGAAGGCCTACCTGATCACACTTGCGAGTGAAAGCAGCCAACTGATGCGACTCCTGGACCACCATGAGGTCCGGGGAGGCGGGGGAATGGCCAGCCCCATTCACATTGATGGTGCAGCATCTCATCGGCCCTGGATGGGTTCGACACGCTCACGGACGAGGTCTCGAACCCACGCCCTGAAAGCACGCCCGCGGGACCACAGGCCTAAACCCCAAGGACAAGGAGGGGGAGGGCCAAACACCAGGAGGACCCGAACAAAAGTTTCTGTCGCAAACCCTAAGGAGCCACTCGGGCCAGGATGAGGCTCGATGTTCTCTTCAGTGAGGTCCCTTCCACTTTCCTGGGCCACGCACGGTTCGCAGCCTTGCAGAGCCTGGCAGCGGAAACGGTCAGCTTTCGGCGAGCCTTGCTGTCGAGTCCCCAGGCTTGGCCTAAAGCAGCACGCCGGGCAGCTGAACAGAACTTCCGCATCCGAAGTCGAGACTTATACTTGGAGGCCCAGGGGACTTAGTAAGTAGGCTATAAGCAGAGTTATAAGTCCCCTAAATGGAGTTGCCCCAATTATAACCCTACTTACAACCGACTTACTAAGTCCCCTGGTCCTCCAAGTAGAGCCCCAAAAAACCACATAAGCAAAAATTTGGATAGGGATATCCCATATAAACCCCCTATCATGAAGCCCAATAAGGTAGGGATATCCCCATAAAGTGCTTATGCTTATGTCCTTTCTGGGTTCCTAAACTTACGGCGGCACAGGGCCTGCCTCACGCTACTGCCCAAGCAAGCCTGACCAGCCTTGGCGGCGCGCTTCAGCCCACAGAGGCCCTGGTAGTAACCTGTGCACTTGCGACACGTCCAGAAAGGATCATGCCCTAGACTCCGCACTCATGGAACATCCAGCACAGAGCAAGGAGCCCCACGCCGGCGAGTACGGGCGGGCAGGCCTTTGTGGTGTCGTGCCAAGTGCTTGTACTTCAAGCAGGTCACACTCCGACTAGAAAAACCCCTAGCAATGAAGCCACAGTGCTCGCAGGGCCACGAGAACCCAGGCTCCGAGGCAGCAGGCTCTCTGCCCTTGGCAACGGAGTCAGCACAGCTAGAGGCAGAAGCTTTCGCAGAGGCTTTTGCCGGGCCCTCACGCGGAGCCACAGAAGCTGCTGAGGAAGCATATGGC